CTTGCACCGAGAATGGCGACAGATAACGCTTCAACAAATCAGACGTCTAACTGGCAGCATGCGGCGCAGGGGTGCAGCAGTCATCCAGGCAAACGGTGGATATACCCTCTATTGACTTTTCGATGACTAATTATCAATGTGTGGGTCATGATTGGACATTTTGTAATGTGATTTGACAATTCAATAACGTTTTTGAGCTTTCACTGACAATACTTATTAAAGATAATTTTAAGCGTGAAAACTGTCCATATTTTGATGTCATGATATGTAAATTAATAATTGTTATTTTATGGTGATAATCTTGTTTTCTTGTGTCCAATAATGCATAATTTCATTTGATAAACACGTTTAGATTGAATGGTAATTTATAATCAGTCACAAGAACGTCGAATCTGAATCACTTGAAAAAAACATGGGGGTGCTTAACTTTTTTTCAGGTGTATATGATTAAAACACACATGCATTTATTAATAACCCCACTGCAACAAATGCATTACAGCAGATGAATGGCAAATACAAAAATGTTCCATGGGTAAGAAGATGTAGGTTTACTGATAACATCCCTAAAGTAATTGCCAAAAAATGGTAACAGAGTATTTCTTTTACTATTGGGTTGTGCCCCCTCTGACCTTTAACTGCTTGACACCACTATGGCATAGAGTGCACAATGAACTGAAAGGTAGGCAAAGGTGAGGTCCTGATGCCACACACAAATTGGGGATTGCTGCACTTTTAAAGGGCTTCTCAGTTTCTTCTCTTACGTTTTACTTGTCAACAATGACTGCCTTTCACAAAATGCAGGCATCCTAGATCCTGGCCACATCGATGTCATACAAAGTGCTTCCCATCAAACTTGTGCAGGTTGAACTTTCAGTCCAGTAAACATGATCTTTAGTCCAGTTGAGCCTCATCATGTTGGTGTGGATGATTTTCTTTCTGGGCCATCTTGTTGGGAGACTGGCTGATTCACACATTGACAGTTGATTCTACATGGTCATGCATTTCAGAACAATTATTAGCTGCTTTAGAATTATTATTTTTTTTTATCCCTTACACAGCCAAACTATATCTCTTCACCCAGTGGCTCACGGTAAACTGGTTATTTGCCTTTTGATAAATCCTTCTTGCTCTAAAAAACAATGACTACTTTTTACCATGGTCATAGTAGCATCAGATGGACATTGTAAAAGATGGGTTTCAAAACTGACTTAAAGTAAGAACCTTTATTTACAGCCAAGAAATTGCTGATGTAATAATTAGGGTTGCACCATCCAAGAAACATTTTCACCTGCGTGTATTAGTGCTTTATAACAGGCAATAATTCCAAACTGTGTAAAACTGGGTACTACAATAAATTTCTCCATCACTCTATCTTTAGCAGTAATACATTTGTTTACAAAAAAAAAATACATGGTATTGACTGAAAGCTTGACACATTCGTTCACTCATTTAATGCATAATTTCTTAGCACCCCTAGAGACACTAACTAGTACAGTAACCATGACTTAAGGTAAACTACCATACACAATTGCCTAAATTAATATCCATATGTGCTACTAATACAGATCCCAAATTTACAGTAGGTTACCTAAGTTTTCTTTTCTTACACCATACCCAACTGCTCTTTTTATTGTTAAACATGACTGTACTCAACGTATTTTCCTACAACTAAATCAAATGGAACAAGAAAACATAAGGAAGCACAGGAGATACTCTGTAAATAATATCGAAAGTAATGTACAAAATACAGTTCATGGGGATTGATTAGACTTGCTGAACATTGCAAGTGTTATTACCAACAATGACAGTAATCCACTTTATTGATCATTCTTTTAACTTTGAAGAACATCTGTTGCCTGTGGTCACATGTAGTGAACAGATCATTGTCTTGGACCCAACCAAATAAGTCTTACATTTCATCTTATACTTTCTTCGTTTTCAGTATTATCAAACTCAAATATTTCATTAAAAAAATATATTTTTAGATAACAAAAACAACATGCAGTAATAAAATTAATTTTGTGATAATAGTTCTATAATTTTTTGATAGTTATGGTTAATAGCACGAAGTAAGAATTCTGTCCATGAATGGTCTCCCTCACAGAGATGGGAAGAACTGAAATGAAAAAAAGGAAGAAATTAGATATTTTTGGGGAAATCCATTCCTACTTCACCAAATATTAAAGAAAGAAAAATACTTGTATATAACACCATGATTAGAAAACACAGTTATTTAACTGGAGAACCATCATAATTCTCAGCTAAAGAAAAAGTTGAATAATTTCAATAAAATTATTTTCTATAAAACCTGCTGAAAGTCAATACTGAATCATACATAATTTACTAACATTACCTCCACATGTAGTGAATGTTTGTAATATGGGGAAAAGAAAAATATCTAAAGTTAATTACATTACCCACAGGGTGAAGAGTATTAGCTGAGCTTAGGAAAGGAAGAAATGGCAAAAGCTGTTCTAAGTATTAAATTTATCTTCTAAAATTCTTATGATAGACAGGACCAGTGGGCAGTTGTTTTTCTAAGAATATTGAGGATAAGTGTTACCATCCCTAGTTAAACATAACATAGGAATTGTCAGTTGTGTATAAACTTGCTGAGGTGGGGGCAGTGAAAAGTTTCACATTTTTAGTGGATTACAAAGAAATTACTTCTCATATGATTTTAACCTACAGAAAAGAAGCAAAAGGTGGAATTTGGTTCAAAATGCAAGTGTACACTCATACAATAAAGGTGCTGCCCCATAACTCTGTAACCAGAAGTATTGCTAGGTACTTAAAAGATTCAGGGCATGGAATCTTCAGCATGATATCAATTGTGGTTTCCTGTGTGCCAGTGCCTAGTGATGCCTTATTTTGTAACCATGAAACTATATAGAGGATAATTTAGTAAATGTATCTTCATCAAATTTACATGCTCTTAGTAAACATTACAAGTCATTTTCATGTTAACACTTAACTTTCTTTTCCCTACCATATGTGCAGGCTCAGTCCATTTGACTGACCTTTTAACAACCACAAAAAAAAGCAAAATAAATTACTCCATAATGTTAGTCAATCACCCACTACTTGTTCTTGCAGCTAAAGCTAATACATTTCAAATCTCCCTGTCAAAACAAGAAATTTAGTATTTTTTTGCTCTTGAAGTCTCAACAAAAGTTAATTTTTTTTGTAGAGATGTTGTTAATGCTCAAATGTTATTTATGTGCAACAACAAAAAATTCCTAAAACTATTATAATTCAATTCTCTAACTAAGCTCTATCTGTATAACAATAATTTTCTTACGTGGTCAAGGCAATCTCAGCGATAGCAAACTACAAAATTGATGGACGATAACTCAAAACCCATCAAGAGAATGAATTAGCCTCACAAAGAAAGCAGAAATTAAAATATTCTATTTCTACTTGTTATAGACAGCATGTGGGAGTTTATGCTTATAACTCATTAAAGCAAGAAGAACAAGTGCTACAACTTAATTTAGCTCAGGAATATCTAACATACAAGTGTGCAAGCCCTTGGAAACTAATAATCTAGTAGTGGAAAGAAATTCTAAAATAGACAGGAACAAAAACTTGACACATGAAAGTGAAGATTGAGAATTATTTAAATATTGCCTCTTGAAATTATTAAACTATATTTTGATGACATACATTATAATAAAGTAGTTAAATCTTGAATGTAATTCTGTACGAAAGTTGTGTCTTGCTGACTTTGAGCTACCCACATCTAGAATTAATAAGACAAATACCCATCTGATAACTTGGAAAAAAACTGAAGTGTATAAATTTGACTAATTTATGCTATCCCAACTAAGAAAAATTAAAATACTTACTTTGCTGTATTAATTAGCTCCTTGAGTCCATCAGCAAGTACAGTAGCCTAAAGGAAGATTAAACAATGAAAAATTACATTAAAAAATTTTACCACAGTCTTTTGTACTGTGGTCTACAAAAAATATAAGATCATATCTGCCTTTCTCCACAAAACAAGTACTTTTTGTTTGTATTAAATCACACTTTTATTATGCTGAATCACAAATTATGAACCACAAAATCCTTCCCTAATTCAAACTACAATGATAGTAATAATAATATTCATCTAATATTCTCACCTGTTGTCTTACATTGCTGTGTACAACTGGGGGGTAAGTAGATAAAACAAAATCATCAACATGAGAACTCAGAGTTTGAACAATTGATGCCAGTGAGTCCAACTGGTTGTTATCCTGTTCTCTGTCACACTGACCCCGAGTTGCAATAATACTTTTAGTTTTCTTGATGCAAGCTTTGCTTGCTTTTAGTAGGCCTAAGAATGCTGGCAAGAGCTGTCGGTCTTCTTCACGCCACCCTGTTTGATCTGGTATTTGGAAACCATTTCGTAGAGGTATATCTGTTAAATCAGGATATAGATTGTCCTCTTGTTCCATGCTCTGAAAAGCATATTATAGGTGAAACTGTCAGAGAATAAAATAACCGAGATAATTTTAACAACAATTATTATGTTACTTTCAGCAGAGAGTTAAAAAGTTTTTGTCATACAATGCTTTGCAAGTCTTAAAGAAAATTAATATATGGAGCATATTTTCACTAATGCAGAGTGTGTGCGTAAGTACTTCAGGATATTAGAAGCTCAAGTGCATATTGGAACAATATTTAAGTCCAGTGTATGCTTATATAATTGTAACTGGATGCAAAACTGTTTATAAAATCCCACTAAAACAGACAGCATCTTTATATCCTATTTAAACACATGTACTTCTAGTACAGCATTTTCTGTGAAATGTTTCTTTGTAATACTAAAATCTTATACAAGAGATGATATGTGAAATATACTACTGCACAATCTTAAAGTTAATAACAATAAACGTTCTTTTTAAAATACAGATCATGGAATCTTCTATAACAGATATTCTGACTGACTATGTTTCTGTAACACCAAATTATTCTTAATTTGATTAATAAACAGTTGCACATATATTGTTAGTTTGGCATTTTTTGAAAGCCTGAATTACTACATCATCTCTTAATAAGGCCTCATCAAAGTTGATTTTATGTTAATTACTTAAATCACCAAGACTAGTTTCTAGCATTATCAAAGGGATTGAAAATGCAATGTTCATAAAACAAGTCAAGATTAAAAACTACCTAATAAATAGTTTAAACATACAAGTACTATAAAACAGCAAATCTTTACTGTGCTGGATGAAGCAATGTTCAATTTCTTTCCTGTAGTTACAATTGTATAGTACCTCTTGAAATTCATCAAGTGCATCCTGAACCATAGTGATTTGATCCTTAAAGACTGTTAGCACAGAGGTCTTATTATCTGTATTACAAAAAACAAACAAATTAGGAATGAACCTACAAAAAAAAACATTTATACTGACTGACAATTTAGTGATTCCATCAATAACAACTCCCATGAAGAATTTCACATTAATGAATATAATAGAAAAAATTCTTAATAAGGGTCAAACATTGCAACAGTGGAAGCTATTTTCTCAAGTAATAACAAATTCATGTTAAACAGCATTTTCAAACACATAGTACCTTTTTTAAAAAAACTGGAGATTTTAAATGACATTTTTCCTGTATATATAAAATTATTCATAACTTAAGAGTGATTGTTTGGCTCAACACTTCAGCTTCAACAGTAGCCCAATTCACAATAAAGAAATTAAACAGTTGCAATTAAAAAAAAACAACTAACAAAGCATTCAATATTATTGAGAAACAATGTAAGGTAGGAACTTTTAACAATGTTTAAAAGGATTCCTGCAAAATAAAGCAAACTCAAAATGCAAGTTTAATTAGTTGAACAAAGCTTATATTAGAAATGAACTTTAAGCATAAGTAAGTGACAAATTATAGTACCAAAAACATCCATTTGCAATGAAATTTATTAAAAGTCAGTTATTATATTGGTTAATTTTTACTTGTGTCATTTAATAAGAACTGAATCCCTAAATTTTCTACCTGGGAAATTGTACGAATTTGCATTTATTTTTATTTATAAAGAAATCCATTGTCAGTAAATCGTGCTGTAATACACAGTAACGTGCAACTACATTTCTCGGTTTCAGTTTTCCCATTCGTTTCAAATGTGTTCGCAGGTGCATTCATGAAATGACGGACCAGTTATTATAAGTAACATCACATTCTTTATGTTACTGTTGACTAAACCCAGATTTTGTGAGCTTTCTTTACATTATGTCTGCTTTCTGTAGTTTCAACTGACAGTTGGATTGTTTTCACAGTCCGTTGTAATTGTTTAGTTAGTGACTAACACCAGAAGTGTAGCATTTCAAAATATAGATTGTGGATACTTTCTCAAGTTTCTATAGTTGGTATACAATGTTGAGAAACTCATGAAAGATTACTATAAGTGAAATTATAGTGATAGGCAGCAGCATGTAATGATGGCTATCAGCTTGAGCAGTTAACTGTATAATAGAGACCCATATTACTGTGACACATATACAAATATTCTGTTTACAAAAAATCTTAGTGAAGAAAACTGACATCTTTATTAACTTCAATGTCTGTCCCCAACATAGAAGTCTGCCTAATAACGCATATAAACATTTGAAGAAAGCAGATAATATTAGGTAATCATGTTTGACATTCACAAGTAAATATACACCTGGAAAAAAGTTAAGCACCCCCGTGTTTTTCTCAAGTGATTCAGATTCGACGTTCTTGTGACTGATTATAAATGACCATTCAATCT